AACCCTGCCCCAGCACCCCCCCGAGCCCTGCCCCAGCTCCCCGCCATCCGCCCCTCGGGCTGTTCTTCCTGCGGGCTTGAGTGAAAAACCGGCCCGTTGGAACTCCAGGATTCCGCTAATAACGACCTGCAGGATTTAATTGTGTAAGCCAACAAATGCGCAGTTAATTCATTCTTTCATGAGCTCATTTAGCCTTATTTTCATGATCCCTCCTAACACAAAATGGAAGACAAATGGAAAGGCTGGAATTACGTGACAGCGTAAAACTCAAGTTTTTGGTTGCACGGGCAGAATAGTTTAGAAAAATCTGAGAAGCAATCCGCATAGGCACAGCATTTGTTGGAAACACAAATCGCTCACCTTGGTGTGTTTTCTCTATAAAATTACAATCTAATACCTATTTAGGATTCTCAGCAAATCAAAGAAGTTACAGCTCAGTAAAATCACAATTTGAGAAAACCAGTAGTGCTGTACATAAGACTATCGGTTGCTGTAACTTACCAGGGGAACTGTATTTACTTTTATGCATGTTAAGAAAGACTTGCACATAGAACAATCTGCAGCCACACGTGAGACTTTTAAGTTTAAAAAAAAAAAAATTAAAAAAAGAGTGCAGAACTTATTTCAGTTAAGTGGTTAACATTTGGGATCTGAAACCAGAAAACCAGTTAAGTATTTTTGGCAACTAAATAAAAACTAGACAAAACACAGCAACTGATGACACGCTACTGCACCTAGGAGAACTGAGAGTGACACGTGGGGAAAGGAGAACCTTTGGCCTCTTAACATGGGTTCTGCATTGCACACTTCAGTTTGATTATTAATTTTGAAGTCTTAGTGATAAAAGCTTTTGAGAGCTGGAAAAAAAATAATCAGTCTTTGTTCATATTTGCTGTAGGACTTATCTAAAATATGTAAAAATACATGCACTTTTCAAGCCAAACTAGCTGGTCAATTTGGCCATGGTCACTAACATAATTTTAACTAAGGTAAGCATAATTAAGACACTGGAAAGGGCTTTGGAATGAAGATTTTTTTACACTCTGGACAGCTCAAAGTCATTCAGTGGGAACAATCTCTGCGGAGAAATACTATCTATCACAGGAAGGACTGTGAGCAGGAGCAGAGGTTGTTGGCAAAGCAGCTTAAACTGCCCTTTCGTGCTTTTATACTACAGCACATGCAGAGTAGAGAGAGGGAGATCATCGATTTTCTTAGATTCCTGTTATACCTGGAAAAAACCCTGTGACTTAAGGATTGAGTTTCATCCTTAACTGAGTTTCCAGGCCTTTTATTTATTTATTTTTAATCAATTCAGGCTGTTCTTTTTCATTGTATTACAATGACAAATAAAAAGCAGCTTGAATGAGAACAAAAAGAGTATTACTTCTGAACTTTTCAATAATACATGAAATAAAATACAAATCAACTTCAAAGGCCACTTAGCAAATATTTGATGAGTTTGAGATAGTAAAAATCTATTTGAATAAGTCTAATGGCCAGCCCAGCTAAAAACAAAACAAGACCATTCAGAGCGAGCAGGAAATGAAGTCAACTAGAGTTTTAAAATAAATCTGGCTCAAAAATTAAGCAAATGTTAAAATAAAACTATGTCTGGTTACACTAATTACATAAAAAGGAGTTAAATTACTCATTTCCTAGCTCCTTCTGCCAAGATCATCATCTTCAAGGGAAATTAAATTTAATTTTTTTCTATTTTTTTCTTAAAGAACAAAAATGTTTTGTATAAACACCTCCCCCTCCCTTGACAAGGAAGTTTCATTTAGTGCTGAATCCCAATGACCATTTCTTGACCAAAAAATCTTACAAGCACGTCAAACACAAATAGGCAAACACCCTTATCAATGTTGACATTTCTCACTATGTTAGCCAACACTTACTATTTTCTTAAAGTTTGTCAGAGTTCCTCTATTGTAAAATAGTATTCAATTCCTGAACAAGGTCTACATTTTACAGTTCAGGTTGTGCATCAAATTCTCTGCTCTCCTACATTTACTATTTCAAGAAAAACAAATAGTAAATCAGTGTAGCTTGAAATTAATTGCTTATTGAATACTGTAAGAATTACACCTCATGCCCCCCCTTGGGGGGGCATTACTGAAGCGCAGTCATCACTAATAAACCACTCAGCTTCCACTACAGCCAGATGTGCCAACCTCTGCTCTGTACACACTTCAAGACTCCATCCTAAGTCACGCTGAGTTCCTGCAATTGCAAATGATGTCAAAGGGCACTCTTTGGGGACTGGGCAAGGCCACAACAGGATGCCTTCTGTTGGAGCCAATTATTCTGATGTAACAAAATTAAGGTTAATCCAAGAAATTCTTTAGCTGACTCGCTTTTCAAGCCAAAACTGATCTGCAAGCTTGCTTCACCCAGTGAGGATGAAATATAAAAGTCATTTTGTTTTTAAAATTTTCCTAATCTGAGTTTTTTTTTCTAACAGACAGCAAGCATCCTTCAATCAAAACTGCAGATCAATCATTAGATGATAAATCAAGTCTATATTACATTGAAGTTACACAACTACATTAAGCTACAGCAGACCAAGGAACCTTTATTCATTCTGGAGAGTCATTTTCCACTGTCACCTATTTTAATCAAAACTGAGTTGATAAAATATTTATCGTAGTTTAAAAGAGAAACAGATTTTTCTGTACATTTCGGCACTATCTGCATTTGACTATATCTGGCTTAGCAGTATCGGAAGGTTCCACAAGTCAGAGAACAATTTTGTCACTGCAATTTCAGGCACTCCCTTTACCCCACACCATTAAGAGCTAGGAAAAAAAAGTTTTCTTTTGTGTGAGTAAATTTGAGTCTACCCAGAACACTGTAAAACTTTCCCTTTAACAACATTCTTTAAATATTAAATATGAGACAGTATTAAAAAAATTCTAAAGAATTTATGCATCACTTCCTTCATTACTAAAAGTAACTGTGAACTTGTATAGAAACCTAAAGTTGGATATGCATTTGGAAAGCACCCCCCTCCTGAAAAGCCCCCAGACACACACAGCTTATAGAAAGTAAGCAGTTCTTTTTGATGTTTACTGCAGTGGTTCTGAAATTAATATAAATGGATGTGTGACGTGCGAATGGGAGAGCCTGGAACTAATTCTGGTTTATAGAATACAAACCCTTCAGCAATTGGGGTACCTAATTATTTTGATGATAGGTGAAATTTTGCCTTGATCACACAGTACCCAGCTGCGAATCTGGTTTATAACAGAAAATTTCACAGCATGTAACTGGTCTTTAATATCACGCTGTAAACATGCAAACACATGGCACACTAAAATAAGCATGGTTTAAAAAGCTCTTTTTTTCCTTTAAGCATTTCTGAGAAGGGCAGAATGAAAAGGAAGAAAAAGGGAAGTGAGCAAAGCTACAAATAGATTTCGTTTACTGTATAATACTTTTAACATATTTCCGATCTAGGAAAAGCTCAACTACATTTTTTTTTCAGAAGAGTTCACATTTTTAAAGAAACTAAAAGAGTCAGAATGAATTATTTCACTCTTCTTGGGGATTAATCTAAAAGTTGTTTCCTCTTCATTGTTACTTACACTACAGCTGTGCTCAAACTCCTTTTCATTTAGAAAAGAAGTTTAAATTTTGAGTCTGCGCACACTATGGTTCCACATTCCAACAGCTTCCTCCCAGTCCTCTGCCAGCATCTGCTATTGAAGACTAGTTCCAATTTACAATAAACAGCTTTTCCAGACCAGAACACTTGAAATTCAGTCCTTCTTGACTGCTTTTCCCATTCAATCTCCCTATTCACCATTTCAAGGAGAAAACTGTTCTGCCAATTATTACACATCTGGAAAAAATGCCTGTATAAGCTGAAATGCTCTCAGCAGAAAGTTTCAGCTTTCTGCATATGGTCACAGCAGGATTTTATGGGCCACTGACCAGGCCAAAGTCTAAGTTTTCCCATCTTTCTCCTCCCCTTCATTTCTGCCCACCCCCACCCCAACCCTCTAATTGGAAACCCATAGCAGGTGCAAGTTGTCTGCCATGTTTTCCTCCTCAAGAATCTCGAGTAGTTTCTTCCTGACAAATATTACTCCTACAGTCTAGTTTTAACTCACTAGGCTCTGTGACAATTTAAATGCATCAGCCGTAATTGCTTTGCATAAATGGATACATGTTTAAAAATATCATTACCATTGATGCTTGTCTGTTGGTTGTTACAAGGCTAGATGCTCCATAATTTGAGTTCAGGCTTCCAATTGGCCCATTGTGGGATGGTCCCAATAAACTGTGTATATCTCCATGGCCACCTGATAGGCTTGTTGAAGGCCCCACAGCGTGATTTCGTAGTACGTGAATGGCATCATCGAGCCTGTCCAAGCGATCCTCCATTCGAGACTGCTGTGGGGATTTAAGGACAGTAACAGCCATTACTGAAGAAATCTGCAGACTCATTATACCGTAAGTCTCTACCTTGGAGATATTCAAGATAGAAGATGAAATGTGGTATCGAACAACTTTGAAAGCACCTACAAGCACTACAAACAAAACAGGAAAAAGAAAAGGTATCTGGAGATTTTGCTTGAGATAGCATTAATTCCACAAATAGGTGGCAGCTTTTAAAGTGAAGCTTATTATAAGGTTAATGTTACTCAGCTTCTATTACATGGCATGAACAAGAAAAAAAGGAAGCGCTACAAAATAAGCTATCTAATACAGGGCAAGAAAGAATGATTTTATAATCAGCCTCACCACATTGGTAACATTTAAGAGAGGCAGTGGCTTTTTGAGAACCTGTATTACAAGAAACTGAACAAAACTAAGTTATCATTTTCTAAAACAGATCAGATTAGGTTCTGTATGTTACTGCAGAAAAGTCTGTCTTAAAATTACTTTCCTTAAAAAAAAAAAAAGGACCAAAAAAAACCCCAAACCAAAACCAATTCTGACATTGCAGCTCTCTAGAAACTGAAATAGCAGAATGCTGGAGTCAAAAGACGGGTCATATGCTAGTTTTTAATGGAGAATCCGAAGGAAGCATTAATTGAAACACAAAAAGGCACCATCTAAAGTGAAATAGTACCTCACAGACATCCTTTAAGAAGGACATTGCATCTTGCAAATGCTCGTGAAGTTGCTGTTCAACTCGATTTTTCTGGCAAAGTCAAGACAGAACAGGAAGCAAAGCACAGGTTAAGATTAATTCAAAAAAGAGGTGAGGAAACAGCTGATGTGCATGTCAGCAATAAATTGTTAGTCAAGTTAATGCAACAGAGATCTGATTATATTAAGATAAGAAAAGGCTAATATTTAACTCTGCAGTTATGTTAGGATTCTAAGATGTACATATCAATTATATTTACTTGCAAAAATATTGAAGAAAAGAAAACTGATTTAGCTTAAATGTATTCGTCTTAGACAGAAAAAAGAAATTATATCTGTGGAAACTAGAAATATTAACAGGTAATCAAAACCTTCCCTCAAATTTTTCCCCTTTCCTTCCCGATGCTGCATCAGAAATTTAACAAAGAAATCAGTAACTTAAATCCCCTGCTGAATCTTCCAAAGAAGAAAATTTACAGTGCTGTAGATGATTTTCTGTGTGTTATTCTGTAAAATGTTTCATTAATTAATGAACATTCCCCAATGAAAAATAATGATTACACATAAAATACATGAATACTTCAATGACAGTGTCATGAAAACAAGCCCAAGAAGACTACCATTTCAGGGAGAGGGGGAAGGACAAGTAAATGCGAAGGCATGAAGTCTTTATCTTTTCCAGACTGAACTTTAGATAAGAATTAGCTATGGATTTGTGAAAAGGTACCAGAATCTCATAACACTGCTTTAGCACCAGCTGTCCTCAGCACAGAAGCTTGATGCCCAAGGAACAGATGGTGAAAGACACACCCTGCACGTCTTATATTGTTCAACTGAACAGGCCATTTGTTAGCAAAGAATTCATTTGTAATGCTATCCTACTGTTTCCTTTAATGATATGCAGGATTTATACAAACTCGAGCCTTCAACTCTTAAGTAAAAAGTACTATGTTGCTTTCAACAATTCTTACCAGGGAGTGTAGAGAGTTTTCATAGTTTGGAGATGAGGGGGCTTGTCCTCCACTCCTAGACCACTGACTGGCACCTGTCAAAATTGTCTAGGTTAATGCATAGATTTAGGCAGCAGAAGTGGGAAGCAGAGATGCAATATTTCTCAACATAATTAAAACCAACATATTCTGCATGAAGCTAAGCTAACATATGGGTATACAAAGGAGGACAAATTCCTTCATTCTGCCTTATTGAGAGATGATTTTTATATCCTGGCATCTGTATGGTTAGACACGTTATTGATGACAAAACAGTGACATCTTCAAAGTACTTCAACATTAAAAAAGTGGACTAAGCACACACACACAGAGTATCTGAAATACCTGCCTTCTGCCAGTGCCACCATAAAGAGGGTATTGAATTCTTTCTTCTTCAGATTACGTTCAGTATACGTAGGCAGATCTTTAATAGTGTTAAAATACGGGTTTTGTATTTTTAAAGAAATCAAACAGATACTGAATCAAGGAAAACTGGAAAACCCTTTTTCTGACACCTCTCTACTAAATAGGAAAACTTAAAACTAGATCTAAAAGCTTTCTTCATCTTGTCTAGTTCTACACTATACCGTTTTAGATTATAATGCATTCCAAGTTTAGAAGAATAAAAATACACCTAGGTTATTCCCATTTGTTTTTTTCAGATATATTTAAGGTAAATTGGCAGCTAAAATTTGTGCAACAAATTGACAGGTATATCCATATTACCTATATAGTGCAAATTCAAATACATATCCATTCTAATCTGACATAAATATACCTAATTACCATATAAAATTTAGAAATAATTAATGTAAAATGCAATAACTAATAAAGCAGTACTTTTAAAACAAAGCCTGAAGTAGTACAACATGTATTTTTCTCACTAACTACTAATGCATCTTTTATAAAGATACTACATGAAATTCTATGTCCATTAGAGACAGCTTCCTTTCAGCCATACAAATGTAATAATAAAGCAATTACATTAATAAATTATGGACATACAATCCAAAGCAGCTCATTAAAGGAAGAGCCTGTGGGCTTGTTCTTTCAATAACAACCAGAGCTGTACGTCTGGAAAACTGGGAAAAGGTTTAATAACATTACAGTTCCTTTGTTCAGAGAGCTGCAAGTAGTTACCTTTAAAGAAAGGGTTTTATTTAACAAAAAAGAGTACAGCTTGCACAGCTATTAAAATACCTAAATATTTCCTTTCTAATTAAAAAAAAATAAACCACCTCCAATTTCATAAAAGCCCAGAGCTGCCATAACTATGCTGGAATTCTCTTTTAAAATATAACTACATCAGTGAGTAAGTTTATAATTACCAATTTTCACTTCACACAGCTACTCTGGGTCTGGAGCTGTAGTCTCCCTCGGCATTATTGACATTCCTGATTTGGGAATCATGCTTGGAGTCCCACTTATTTTTGAAAGGCATTAATGAAACAACTTTAGAGTATTTCATCTGGTCAAAACTCTGTTTTTAGAGACAAGACCATAGTCAAGGCTTTAACGAGTGCTTACTACTAACAGGATCGGGTGTACTACTTCTGACAATAAAGCATCAGCTGAATATTAAGCAAAAAGGCAATCGGTTAAGAAAAGAAAGCACATAGATTCAACACCTGCGTATCTAGTCTGATGAGTTTGTGTTTTTTAATAAATGTGAAAAGGTACTATTTCCTTAAAGTAAGCCCAGAACAAAACTCTGAGTGGGACTTTGCACAAAGGAAACAAAAAGGAAAGGAGGGAGGGAATACTCAACTCCTCCTCCTCTCAAACGAACAACCCAACTGCAACCTGCAGTTTTTAATCAAACCTCTAGTAACGCTCGTGCTCTTTCCGAGCAGTGGCATGCTCTGTCTCCCTGTCTGCGCAGGTTGCCAGATGGCACTGATTTCCTGTTTTCTCATTTCACTCCCCCTCCTAGAAGTTTGTGCATGAAATCCTCCAATTATGTTAAAAAGCATCCTGGCACCACAAGCCCTGCAATTAACAACTGCAGCTTTTAGTGCAGCACCAACATAGCATCATGAAAAACAAATAAGCCAGGCAAGTGTTAGGATTTACATGGGTCAGTGATAGTAATCACTGTAGTATTGTTCTTACTCTCGGAGTCTCCCCAACACTAATCCCCTGGCTCCCCTTTGACACACACACTCGCATCGGAGTTGGCAGAGGGCTGGGTTTGCATCCTCAGAACCAACCGAACCCTTCTGAATACCTCTCATCCCAGGAGAAGGATTCTTAAAATACCAAGGCTCCCACCATTCAGATCCATATATAAACTTCACATACATATACGCGATCATTAAAACTATGCAAGAAGCTAAGCTCTGGGCACGTTTATGTAAAATTAGAAATTAAATGAGGGCAGGGAAGCACACGCTATTGTCTCACAATACTTGGGGGTTTTCATCGTGTTATTCTCAAAGCTTTTACTTTTATTAATAAAAAGGTGGTGTTAGTCCTTATTCAGTAACATAACACCCAAACATGAGCTTATATACTTAAGTCTTATGAAGTTACTATCTCACAATGTTTTAAGTGGCAAATAGAGTGCTCCTACTTAATTTACAATTAAAGGATATGTAAATTATGACTTAGTCAAATCTACAATAATAAGAATGCTAAATAAACAAAGAACTAACTGCAAACGAGGAAAATCATGATGAAAGCTAAAATGCTCCAAAATATATTATTTTAGTATACATAAAACATTTGTTTTATCCGCAATAACTTTTTGGGTCAGGACAGAAAATGGCTACCAGGAGTACAAATAGCAATAAATACAGTAGTAATTACTTTACATTGTGCTTCACTGTTTTCTTAGTGACTCATCTGGGAATAAAGATAAAAGTCCAGATTCATAAATGAAGGTAATTAACTACTGGAGCAATTTACCCAAGGCTTGATAAACTCTGTATCACTGGAATTAAAGGGGGTGGGAGGGTGTAATTGTAAAGCAGATGCTAAGTTTGCACCTGAGAAGGATTTCAATATTACTTGCTTGTATCCACTACTGTCTTAGCCATCAGAAAACAGAATAAGGAACACAAAGTGCAAATTTTGGAGTTTTACATTTGATACAGGTTCCAACAGATAAAGGCATCAACAGCAAAGGGAAAACTCAAATTTCAGGGATGTCAAATTTGTATTCTAAACCCAGAAATTAGCTAGTGCTTTCACGCTTACAAAATTAGGTGTGGTATCTAGTTCAGGGAACTACAAGTGGGATCTTTAAAATTGTAAATACTTTGAAATACCAGAACGTCTTTATTCCAGCCACAGAGGGCTTTTCAGTATTTGCTTTGATGTTAAAATGAAAATAATAATAATTTCCTGGTCTGATCTGCCTTTTCAGTACAACAAGGATATACAAAACTTTTTTTGGGGGGGGGTCAACTGTAATCACTAAATCAAAAATCCCACTAATCCCATCATTACTTAATTCAATGTGGATTTTTCAGTTAGAAACAAAATGCCAAGAGAGCAGTCGTCGGCTCAGGTATGCCATGTCAGGTACTCATTAATCCATTAAGTGCACAGAAAACCAGAAAAATGTCCATTAAACATGACTGAAGTATGAATGATCAAAGTTTTCTGAGCGGCACTGTATATACAGATATGCATATTCACATACATATGTATATGACTGCATTTCGCATGCAATAATTTTACTAATTTATTCCTCTAGATTGCAAAAGTGTCCCCCTAAGCTCATTCTGTACACCTCTCACTGCAAGTTATTTTTATTTTTTCAAAAAAACAAAAACTCTCTTGTGTGACCAACCGCCAGGAGTCTGCAAGGATATATTAAACAACAGAGAATGGGAAAACAGTTGTATAAATGTTAAATAATTTAACAAATTGCACTACAGGAAAGAACAGGGTTAAAGTTACATCATCTTGCTTGTAATTCTAGTTCTTTGTTAAACAACAAATTTAAGTCAATGGAGCTTTCACAGTCCTCTATATGGAGAACAGCTGTTCAACTTTTACTAGACAGCTGAGGCCACAGTATCTGTGAAAGCTGCACTACCCACTAATAGCTGTAGGCAGCTGCCCACAGTTCATCTCCACGCTGGAATGCTTCTTCCCACATTCACAGTACAAACACACAAAGCACAGGTGACAGAGGTGGCTGCAATACAGAGCATTTATTTTGAAAAATGCCAGAAATTCTTCTCCCATAGAATGAAAGCATTCATGAAAGATATGAATGAAAAGCTATGCTGTGTAAAAATTGGATAGTCTCATAGCCTACTATATTTTCATTAGAGAGAACACACATCTGCTGTGTTTGTCACTGAAAGCTGCTGCATAGCTTTAACATACAGCTTTAAAAAACCAACCAACCAAACACAAACCAAAACCCAACCGAATCACTCTTACTTCTCTCCAGTGGTAGAGATCTGTACAGATATCTCTACAGCTGTGATAGTATATGGTCATTCTATGTTTTCAAAGATTATTTTAATAAGCTCATTTTCAAAGCCAGTTGCCAGGATTTAAGTGAATGTTTGTAACAAAATATTTAAGAATCTGGATTTAGAAATCTGGGTTAAGTACAATGGAAAAATAAACAAAATATAGAAGTAATTACGCAAGGAAGCTACTGCTGATTTTGCTGTGATTCCAAACAGGATGTTTTCAAAACAACAAACAAGTTATTGACAAATGGCTAATCTCTACCTGTAAGAGGCGATGGTGATCCAACTGGTGTTGATGGATTCGATGGAAAACTACTGCTGGTATGATCAGGAGAATAAATCTAACAACAGACAAAAGAGACTGTATATCAATACATGCCATAAGACACAGTAGAAAAAAAAGTTATTAGGATTCCCTTTCAAGCTTTTAATTGTCACTCTTGATGCTGGATTTGATCCTTCAATTACAGCTCTGCTTTATTACACTCAAGGCTCTAAAAATGTCCAGAGAACTTTCATTTTCAAGCAGCTGTCAAAATAAGCACAGCCTGTATTGGATAGCGACACAAGTATAACTGATCTTCCTTCTACTTTAACTGAAGCAGAAATTACAGCCTTTTTATCACTGAAAGGGAATGATATACATAAGAGTTAACAGTACACAGATAATTATAACAATCAAAAGTTAAGGAAAATGCAGAGGAATAATGACTTCCGAAACTTCAGAGAGAGAAAAGATTTTGGCAGTCAACACATGTTATCTTCTAAAAATTAATCCTTCACAAGAGAAAATACCAAGAAAGCATTCAGGTCTAGTTACTATTGGTACCTACCAAACAAAAAACATCTGAAATTTGTTGCTCTTGCTATGTATTGCAGCATATACAATTTTTCACTCTTATTTCTATATCAATTGCTCCCTTAAGATATTAAGCCTCAATTTGCAACAATTAATTCCTTGCTATTAATGTAAGTAAAAAGTCTTGATAAAAACAGAAGACATAATGCTTAAAGCTTTAATTAAAACTTAAAATTTCAAGATTCTTGGAAAGTTGATTTTGTGAAGGGAATCAAATAGGTTTAGAGAATGACTATGGACTTCAGAACATATTTTTTTATAGGTCGTCAGTTCAAACCTGTTTTACTTGAGCAGAGACCAGGATTTGTTAGTCATCAGATGGCAGTTAAAAAATCTTCACTAGCAGTGTGGTTGATGTCTCTTCACACAGACAATATGACATTTCAGCATGTAGCTGACAATAAACTGTGACTTGGTTAAGTTCCATATTGTATTTTTTGAACTGACAAAATCAGGACCCGATAGACCACATGCTCCTTCCTGGTCTATCATACTTTTTCATTAGAAATACCATCAGTTCCATAACGGAAAATACCTCCTCCTTTTCATACATGCTAGAAAGAAAATACATTGAAAAGAACAAACTACCTCAGACCATTGGAGGAAATTTACGCACTGTACATCAGTATAAAAAAATAAATCTTGGGTGTCAGTATGGGAACTGCAGAGAGTTCCAGACAGATAAGATACGGAAAATTAAAATGTTGTCAGAACAAAGACCATGAAGTTTCCTTTGAAACCAGTTGTTTTCCACCACTGTATCTGCCAATTTTATTTTGCTATATTTTATAAGAGGGAAACCCTACATTATACCAAAGCCACAACTAAAACACGAGGTCAGAATTCATTCTGCATGCAGTCCCTGGCCACTGTGCTGTTAAATGACCAATGATGAACAACCCTGACACCTTCTGCCAGGCTTAAACGGTAACATGACTCATTTTACTGCAACAAATAAGACTCCTCCTCCTATCAGTCATGGTCCATTCCAATCAGCGGGGTGCCAATATGCCAGGGTCTAATGAAAAGGCTCTTAGACAAAAGCTGCACAATTGAGTGCCTGCAGAGCCAAACCTCAGAGCTGTTAGTCCAATTTTTTAAACACTACAGTGTACATTTCAGTTAGGCTTTGTTATGTTAATGTTATTGAGTCTAAAGCAACAAAGAAACTTAATTCATGAATTACTTTTAGAAGTCAACTTCCCTACATTTTCTTTTCTTTTGTGAGGGGACCAGTGGCTATTTAACTACTGAAATCATACAAAGGCCTTTACCCTAGTTCTGAGGTAGGAATCAAAACATAAGTTATCACAAAGAGGTCTGATATAATCAACAAAGTTAAACAGTCCTCCTGTTTGATCTCCTCTAAATTAAAGACCAAGTGTTTTGATTTGGCATTAGGCAATGAAATAAACCAGATGTTTCTCCTGCCATATAACCCTCCATGGGCACAATCTTAAAGGGTTATTGTTTGGCAAATGTTCAGGGAAACACATTAGAAATGGCACGAATACCCAGATTTTCTTTTCTTTTCTTTCTATCTATACTAGTTCATTATCCGAACTCATGCATAATCCACAGGGCTTTGGGAACTTTGTGTAAATACTTTCATGTACAATTCTCTTTCTTGCCTACCCTGAGATTAAGACCACAATTATCCAGGCTTAAACCTAAAATAAAAGAACCTTTGCAAATGTATTATCTGGCCTTACATGTTTAATCACATACTATTCTGTATGGTCTTTAATACCTAAAGTGAAGAACAAATGTTGTATCCTCTGATGTTTCACACACGAAAAGCTTATTGTGAGATGTACATCAACAGAATTTTAGAACTAGAAATTCCTCTCAACAGTTGCAGTGGTAGCATTTAAAATCCTAACAGAAAGGCATATCGTGTCATCCTAGGGGAAAAAAAAGCCAAGACAATTGCAGTATTTAAATAAAATTTTGTTCAAACAGAAAAATATTCTTGGTTTACTAGCCATCAAAATTCATGTGAGCTAGCTTCACCTGCAGGAGAGACCACCTCCCTCGGTGAGCAGTGCTCCTTGCCGAACAAGCGCAAGAAGTGTGCTGTGTGCGCGTGTTGCGGGGGAAGCAGATGGATGAGGCGAAGGATTTGAAGTGTGCAGACTATGGCATGCACTGATAGAGCAGATGGAATGCATCACCATCAGCTATGACAGAAATGATTTATGGAATGACCTGGCTGCTCCTGCCAAGCAACAACACGGGATGACAGAAACAAGTTTCTATGACAACCAGAGCCCACCCACCAGTTAGATTAAACATTTCTGCCCTGACTTCCACTTGCAATGTATTTAGAGTTTTTCCTCAAAACATCAGCCTGGTTTTCTCAGCTAGTGACTTGGGCAAAAACACCTGAAAGGACGAGAAAATAATTTAAAAAAGGAGAGCACTGGAAAACGTCACAAAGTCATGCAGGTCTAACTGGCCAGCATGTCAGACTTAACAACAGAAATTTTGGTCAGGCTGCAGAATAGCAGACATCCTAATACATCTGCAGAGCAGTGAACAGCCTCAAGTATGTAAGCATTACTATTTCTTAGAGTCAAAATGATCCCAGTTCCTTTCTGACAGGTCTCAAACAGACAAAAAGAGAGTGGTAACTGCCCTCTGGACTTGTGAATTGTTATCTACTTGCTGAATCCCCAAAAGCAACAGGGACAACATTTTTCTCCTCAAAGCCAGTAGGTCAGAGTTCTCCTACCCAATATGGACATTACAGACATTATCAGATCTGGTAATCTTTTAACATATGACCTCTGGGGGATGCAAGGGTAACAGGATCTGCACGAATATACACATTTGCATTCACTGGTATGAGGCAGGGGATGCAGAATCCTACCCAGGAATGGTCATTTGGAGCTGCAAAGTAGTCATTTCTATCTTTTAAGTCAGACTTAGTCTCCTTATTTGCTACGTACAAGAAATACAAAGAGCTCCCCCAGCCACCACTCCTAACTCTGAAATTTCCGCTATAACGTATTAATGTTTTATAAAAAGTACATCCGATTGTATTAATGCAAAAATAGTTGCTGTATGCATACATATGTCAACAGAGCTTTTAGTAGACTGAAGATACTTGCAATGTTTTACATTATCTACATTATTCCAATAGGAGTTAAGAGTTTAAACTTTATGCATATACAACATTTTAAAGGCTGTTCCATAAATTATAGCTATATAACACAGCATTCAAAACCTCTCAGTTTTATAAGGCCACTGAGAAAACATTTTAAACCTTGAGGCAGGATCTGCTCTAAGAGTAATGTTAAAAATATTTGACTTTAACTAGAAAAGTAGAGGGGAAAAAAAACCCCAAACCCTAAACTTTTGATGATTATCTTTTACTTTGTCTAAACAACTTTCTAAACTGTATTTGCCCTAAATTTTTCAATCACCTGAAAAAAAAAAAAAAGGAAGTCAGAATGAATCTTCCACAAATAAAAGCATTTTCCACTTGTTTTTTTATAGATATTTCTCTAGTATATGACATTGTATCATAGCACATTATTTTAACTTCATACATGAAAACTCCTGATTTGATATTATAAAATAAACATAAATAATGGATGCAATGATCAAAATACATCTTTCAGATATGAATATTCTAACTGCTACTTACAGATGCCAATGCCTTTCCAAGTGCATCACCTGTCTGTGAGCTTCCAGCACCATTTCCTCTGTTTCCTGTAATGTGGAAAGCAAACCCAACACTTATTTTTAAAGCTGAAATTTTATTTACTTTAATTATTTTATTCATCACGTACAGTTGAGCAACCACTTTTTAAACGGATATTCTGAGGAAGTCAGTGTCAACAGAATCAGTTTTCATTATATCTAAAAATTTAATTAAAACAATTAGATTAAAATTTAGATGGTCTCCTCTTTAAAGTCAAACACAGTATCACTGTGATAACTTAAGGACCAACAAGTGAAAGCAGTTAGAATAAGGACTGAAATTATTTTCTAGGATCACAGGCGAATTTTAATGAAATGTGAAAAGAAAATAAAAATCAGAAAATTATATTATTGCAGCTTATTTCTAAACTGTTATCACTAAAGTGCTGCACGTTTCATGAATTCTTAAAGCCCAATTCACTGAATAGTTCCTTGTGTGTCTCCTTGCTCCTCCTGCTCTAATTCCCTGTGTTGTACTCTCATCTTTATTTCAGAAAATCCCTGAAAAGCTCTTATCCAGCAAGCTTTCTGTCACCCCTGCTCTCAGTCGCATGTCAGCAGCTTTGCATGCCCTTTTGCTCAACACACCATCAAGCCAAGAGGTCTGAAAGCCTTGCCAACTGGAAACACAAAAAGGACCTGAATCTTCTGAAATATCTGATTTTACTGTAGAAGGCAGACCCTTTAAAAGTGAATCTCCTTTCTCCAATTATGAACTTCTAATGCAAAAAAACCCCGTATTTAATGTGAATGCAAGCCATTCACATCAGAAATCCAAATAATGCAATGCTCGCTGTTTCACGTGTGTGGCAAACTTGGATTTTCCAGCCTGAATTTCCCATGCAGATTCATTAACTGTGTTCTGCTTAAAGATCCGAGTGCAAAACATGTTGCCAAATCAAAGCCAATGTAGTCACTCTAAATAAATTCCACTTGCTTAAAATGAAGCTAAGTACAAATCATATTGAACTGACAAGGACAAGGGGCATCTGCAAGCATTTAATTTCTACAGCTGTATCTTAAGATGTGCAAATATGTGCAAGGAACAGATGATCATCCTATATTTCATGCTTTCTAGGTAAGCACAGAAGAGACTAAACCAGCCACCATACTGGCTACTCAGTACTCTCTAAATCAGTTAAGAGAGGAATTTATGATGTTTATCAAGCTCCCCAAAGAAACAGTCTTCCTGCCTTTCTCCTGCACAGTACCTTGGTGATAAAGCAGTTCTGAAAACTGCAACACCAGAACTGCCTATATGAGCATGTACATATACTAAGCTATGGAAGGATAATTGCTGTTCAGTTAGATGGATACAATCTCCTGAGCATAGGCTTGGCTATGAAAGCAAATAAACCAGTAAGTCTTAAAGTGACTGCAAAACAATTTGCCTCATCTCAGCCATAATGAGGACAGAAACCTCACAGTGGCGTGGTATCCCTGATCTACAAGCATCCTTTAAATTAAATCTTACTAATTTTGTGTGTCATGCAGCCCTAAATTTTTTGTTCTTGTTAAAAAAACAAACAAACAAACAAAACCCAACCAAGCAGGAAGAATTTTTTTACCCAGAATATTATCTGATCCATTGACAGGTGGAGTGTGTGAGGCAGCTACATAAGGTGAACTGCTGGTACTGCCACGATGGAAGCTAGACATTGGAGGAAGACTGGCATTTATATCTGTAGGTGAGACTGAATGTGGGGGATAGCTCTAGAGAGAAGAGAAACAGACATAAGACATTAAGTAGTCTTTAAATAAATGTTGATATTTTAAGATACCAAATATACAACACCCAGCTCTTTACTAAAGAAAGGGACTCATCCATCCTCTAACAGACACTACACAGCCACAGATTTTTATTTACACAACAGACATAAATAAAAGGACATAAATCTAATACAGGAAGTTTGTGATTTCTGACAACTGCATTTTTAACTGACATACACAAGCAGCAAACAAGAAATGAATTCTTGTAAGTCAGATCTCCATACACAAGTACAAATACATTAATCTGTGCTGCATATCTTACCAAACGGTCATGTGTGTGCAGGCTGCCGTAACTGCTGGACTGGGACATGTGGGAAGAGGAGCCTCCCAGCATCCCACCATAGCCAGGCTGGCTCATGCCATTGGATGAACTCCAGAGGTCAGAAGAATTGTGGGTCCCATCTTTTTATTTTTTATTAAAAAAGAAAGCAAGAAAACCACATTTAATGAAGAAGAGTACGGAGTTCTACTTTCCTTTACAAAAACAGGTTAAAATACAGAATTCTGCTACTTAAACTAACATCAGCAGGGAAATTGTGACCAGTTTATACTGCGTCTTCTATTTTCATGCCACCGCAGTGTTGCTATATTTATTAAAAAAACCCCAACAAAACAACAAAAAAACCAACAGAGGCTTTATAGCTGAAATACAATCCAACCACAGCTGAGAAAATACCAAGTACTTCTGCTAATTACATAGACCTTCAGTAAGGCCAGATTTATATCAAGAGGGTTGATAAAAATTCCAGACTGAAAAAAATAATAAAAAAGGGGGGTGGAGGGGAGAGAAGTTTGGCTAAGCAGAGGTCATCATAAACACACAGTGCAAAACATCTATTAACCTAAAATAAGCAATTTACAGTCTAAAATACCTTAGTACCATAAAAATATAAAAACATTTCACAATAGCAGATTTAAGTAACTGAAATGACTGCATTACATAAGCCTTGAACCCACGTGTCAATGCAGTTTTTCTTCTGTAGCACAAACTGAAGTGCTCTGTAAATTCCCGCACTGAGAGGCTATGCTTTCAATATGCTCCAAAACCTCATCAGACTACAGTACGAGTTAATTGTATGACGTGAGGCCAAGGAAATGAATTCTGCTCTCATTTTGTTCAATGGAAATTTTTTTTTTTTGGCATGCTGGATATACAAGCATTTGAGAACTTAAGACTGTTAGCTGATATTGTACAGTCAAATTCCAGAACAGTCAAGAAGCCCTCACCTCATTTTTCTCTATCACTCCAGTGTGCTCCTCTGAAGCCCCTACAAATCAAAGGATGGGGGATTCTGTCCATCTGGCCTGGTGTATAATCCCCTTAAATTTCAGTCAGCAATTAATGTCATGAGAAAAACTTTAAATCAACGGACAGCTCCCTTCATCTAACTGTTTAAAAACTATATAAAACTTAATCATAGGCTCTGGCACAATATGGTACCTTTATGCTTCCTCATCCATTCAGTACAACAGTGGCTGAGTGCAGATTTCTGCCTAAAGCACAAGTGACACCTACCCATATATTTAAAGTCATTTTACCCACCTTGCATAAAGAAAGTGCTAGCAAACATACTGCTTGGTGGCTTAGGAGACGGGTAACTTGGAGATTCTCTGTTGAAATCATCAGAACTCGGGGATGGCGCATACACCTAAATATTGGAGAGCAGTAAAAGCACGTTAGTACTACTTGGGTGTCGTGCACTAAAAAACCCATAACAGCATACAGAGACAGATAGAAAGCACAAATAAAAAAAGAACAGTGTAGCAAGTTGCAGCATTTGTTGCCCTTGTTTTATTTGCTTTTTAGCAAGTTGCCACAGTACAGTGGAACTACAGTAGAATGATCCTAACAACACACTTTCTGGTGTGCCAACTCAGCCAGGTGGCCTGATAAAAGCTTGAATGTTGATTTTGCTTTCTAAGTGCATGACTCGCACAGACTTGTTGCTTAAGATAAAACCAGCAAGATAAAACAACTGGGCTCCAAACAAGTTTCATTTTAAAACAACTGCATGCCTGTTTGAATATTTAATTAGCTGGCATCCCAACAATCAGAAAGAAAAAGAACATCCAGTGACAAATGGGAAGATTTTAATGCAACCATTGTATCATCCATTCAGAAACTTGCACGCCTTTGTGTAGTCATCAAAAATATATGCACTGCAAGTCCAGAGGAATAATCGTAAAACTGCAACATCAAGCAAATTATTTTCACGCTAGCCTAATACTAAAGAAAACCAGCACCATTCTTTTTTTTCAGTGTAACACCACATTCTCAACTTGCAAACTACGAATTTTATGAAAATTAAAAATTGTAAGATACCAAATAAACATAATGAATAGAAGTCTTTCACTGCAGTGACTCTAAGAAGAAATATAAATCACATTCAGGAATAAGTGAAATCAACAAAGCCAATATTCACAGACTCAAGGACTTTACCCATAACATTAGTTGTTTTAAGCAATGCTATTTCTTAATTATCAGTATTTTGGTCAATATACTGAATATTGCAATATGACTAGTGTTTGTTAAAAGAAAAATCTTTTAAAAAAAGGCAAATTAACAAATACAGCAGCAAAGACTATAAAAATGTAACACTGAAACCAAAGCATGTTTTTGCTACAAAGTAAAAAATGTGGTATTTTTATTTTTTTAATTGTTCGCCTTGTAAATACATAATGCTTCACACATACATTAAGAACAACTTTAAAATGCAACTTACAAAGCGCACTACGACCTAAAATCCAAAAGTATTTTGACCCTTCCTATGTAAATACAAGCACACGCATGTATCTGCAACGGTCACATCTATCCCGTGTCTGTCTGGGATGTTGTTTACCAAGCAAGAGAAGGGCCAGGAAAACCAAGCCGGCCAACAGAAAAGCCCAAGTTCCCTAAAAGAGAGCCATTGTTCTCCCGGAGGGTGACTGTTCTGATGCGGATATTCAGAAAGTGAAGTGGGCAACTCCTGCTGCCATTTGCATACCAATACCCCTCCTCCCCACTCCCAAATGCTTTTCTAGCCTGCTGTTGTCAGACCAAATGGCTGGGCATGTGCCTGCAGACACCACTCTTTTCTATCGGAGGGACTGATTTACCACTCTCTTAGACTCCTTTCACATCAACAGAATTTCAATAAAATCTATGAAACTACAGTATGATGGAATCAAGGGCACAAGGAATTAAGCCAGGGCATAGCTGTCGATACAAGCTATGTAATGAAAGTGGCAGCAGGTAAAAAGACACCTGATAAAAAGTGGAAAACTTGCAACTTTTAGTTGCATGCTTGTTTTAACATTATTTTTTTTTTTAACCAAAATAAATTAATTTTTTTTTAGGAAAAAAAAAAGCCTTTCGGGCAGCTTTTGTTCAATATTTTACTTGCAATTTTTCAGTTTATGGATTAAATGTAAAATAGAGATGCGTACCAAACCTGAGTGATAGAATGGCAATACGTTATAAGGAACATTAACAGTACATATGTATTTACTATATATGATGAATGCATGTATATTCCATGCCACAGACATATTTTAACAGAAATGTCACTCTGTCAAATTGTAAATACTCACACTTATAAGACTGCAAACATATTAGGCAAAACTGGGCTTAATTTACAAGTTCTCTGTTGTGCAAAATAATGCAGCATATGCTATAGCTGATGGATAATCTATCACTGTCACAGGACAGCAGTGGAAACAAAGCTTTATGACATTTAGCACTGCCATGGAGATGTACACTGATTAATGCGAAATCACCTACAATGACGAATTATAGTTCTTTTAAACTGTAACGTTATCAATGAAATTTGTAAATACAAGCTTCAGAGTGAAATTTTAACATTTTACATAATTGGGTGATTTACAAAAACTGATCAAACACTATCTCAAAAGGGAAATTAAAACTGAAAAACTCCTACAAATATATAATTTACAGATACATACGTACAAGCCATAACATAACAAAAACGTTATGAATTATATTAACGTAAAAAGAGGCCCTTCCAAACAGCTACATGAAAGTCCTAGCACAGACACATAACTTTATATAGTTTCTGCTTGTTTTGGTATCTTAACTATAGCTTGCAAAAACATAGCTGCAATGTTATGAAGCTGCACTTGTGCCAGTCTAGATTTTTCAGATCAAAGGGTTCTTGCGGCAAAACACAACTGATGTGGTCTCAAAGACTTCATTAACTCCAGATGTGGGGAAACAGCCAGCCAATTCCACAAAAGGAGCAAGTCTCTTTTAGTTACAATCAGAACTACCCACAAATTAAAACCAGGCCTCTGATGTCATCTGATCACCTGCAGATGAGCGCCAGGTTTTTTTCTGGTTAATGACCTAATCATAATTTTCATGTCGTGTTACTACAAACAAAATTTAAAAGCAAAGGAGAAAATTTACTAAGATTAACCTGAAGTGCATGAGATGCAAAAGGCAAAAGTTTTGAATAAAAAAGTTGATTAAAAAAATGACATTTTATTTTCAAAACGGGAAGCAATGTATCAGGGGGACTAGTTTGTTCACTCTGAAAGCCCCGCATGCACTAGGATCCCTATCCAGCAAAACGTAGCCTGTGAGGCTGCTGGTCTGCAGGAGGCTTGCAGGGCTGCGCAGCAGCTCCCCGGTCTGTGTCCTAGTTAAAGGGCTTTCTCTTCTGCAACAGCTGAGTAAGGCAGTTAGAAATATGACGTGGCTGCTCAAGACGGCCTCTTTTAGCTATAAAACTGATAACAGTGACATCCAGGAGGCATCAAACCAGTTTTTCCTGGCTGACATTCCCACTAAGACAAGGAATAATGTTAAAAGGTCAGCCTGTCTGCAGAGTCTCCTTGAAGAGGGTTGTCTCCAGCAGGTAGAAGAGGAGCCCATCTTCTAATCCCCTGAAATACACTGTGCCCAAAGGCATCGGATATGTCTCCATGCTGACAAGCAAAAACACTCTCCGATTATGAATGGGAAATTCCCTTCTGATAAACGCAAGCCAAAACCAGTTTTTTTACATGACTTATCAAGTGGAGGACTCGACTTTTTTAGAGCTGTGTAAGAATATACATCAATTCTAACGCTGCAGTGCTTCTGAAGGGTAGGTAGCCTCCACAGAGGGAAGCAGGACAAATGAGTTGCAAAGGACATCAAGTGAGAGACCCACATTGGTCTCTTCCACACCCTGAACTGGTTTATGTTTCTCCAGCGGGAAAATCAGGATGACAACTAATATATTTTTTTGAGGGTTAGTGGTAGGAGCTGACTTCAGAGCAGAGCTGCGAAGTTATCTGTACTACATCAGGTTTAAGCAAAACAAACGCATCATCCAGTTCTGAAATCTGTCCTGGTGATTAATATATGCAATGAACTCTATGATGAAAGTTACACAGACATAATATATCTAAAACATATCAAAGGATTACGCAGTGTGCTTCTGTTTACTAATACAAGTGCTGATAACACGAACATTAATTCGAAGACCTGGGTTTACTAAATTTTATGCTTAGTAAAACTTCCAAGTCTCATTCTATAAATGCATTTAATAAATATAACACTTAGAGTCCTCCTGTTGGCATACTTTCTCTCAGGCAATTTTCCCATAATCTGTTTCAATTTCTTAAATATTTATCAATGTTTAATATTAATGTTAAAAGTAGATTTAAAAAATAGCAACGAAGCAGACAAACCTTACTTCTGATAAGGTCATGCTATCTCAAGACCAAGGTTCCCATCATGCACGCTGTTTATGGAATTATGAATTATGTTACTCATTTAAGCCTAGTTATTAACAATTCTTGGAAGTTCAGGAAAATATTTACCAAGCTGCTGGAGACAGAGAATTTTTTTGATACCAGTAGAGATGGATAACCTATTCTGTAGCTTGTAAACTCTGCTAAGTAGCCTATCTACATTCCATCAGCATCAGTCATGAAATAAGCAAGTGCACACTGATGAATGATTTGTACATGTGGCAAAATTTTACAGTGTATTATCTGCAGGTTTTGAGGCAAAAGCTAATTCAGCTGAAAGGCAGCTCTGGGAAAATGAAACTTGTTTTCATGTTTATTGTATTTCTGACAAAATCACGTACTAAAACTTCAGGAATGTAGAATAGTAACTATAGTTTTCCATACTCCTCTTTACAGCAAGATAGAAGTTGCCAACACCCCCCACACCCCCTCGCA